TACCATTTTCACTACAAAAGCGTTTGAAAACAGATGACATAAACTGAGTACCGTTGTCGGTCACTAATATCTCTGGAACCCCGAAACTAGCAAACAATCCTGACAATCTTCTAATTGTACTCTCCGATTTCATTTTCGGCATGCCATGTACTTCTGGATCGATCGATAATAACGCTGCTTATCATAACCTGCAGTCCACACGTTACAACAGTTGGAGACGGGGTAGAGAAAATGTTGAACCCTGTAATTGGATGAGATTCAGCCTATTTATTTTGGCCAATCAGCATTCAGATTTATCGTCGGTGTTTTTGGAAGTCATTGGTTGTTAATTGATCACAGTATTTCTCATTACCCTGCTGATTCAGAAAATGACTATCCTTCCCGATCAATTGCAGCTACTACTTGATCGCCAACAGCAGCGTTTCAGAGAGAGCCATTTGAGTGTTTTGGACAATTTACTCACGCGACTGCTAAATCTCCCATGTTTCGGAGATGTGAAAGAAATTGATGAATTAATTTCTCACTTGCATACTGAACTCGAAAATGACTGCAGGACGTATGAATATGAAAACAAAAGCCTCTATGAATCCCTGATGATCAGTAATGCAAACGAGGCAGTCGCTCATGATCCGTCCAGCGATCCAGAAATGTCCAATTCAGAAGCATGCCCTGTCGTGGGTTCAAATCCCACTGTGCCCGAAACATGTACAGACAGTGAGGCATCCAGCTCACAAGAAGAACGCCTCGTGCCAGAAAATGTGTCCCATGCATCAAATAATGGTCAGAAATCTAATACAAATTTCAAAGATGCTGTTTATTTTAGTGATCTATTATCCACTGATGGAATTTTGAAGAGGTCTGGTGAATATGTTCCACAAGAATCAAACCTTAATGACCTCATATCTAGTGTCGCTGATACTCATCATCTAGTCAGTTCTAGTGGACCCTCTACCCAATGCGGGAAATATGCTTTAAATAGAATCAGACTAACTGTTACTTGGGTATATGAGGACCCAACATTATTTTGCGGGGGAGGACGGACGCAGAAAATTTTAAAATCCGGATATCAACTCCGGATCTTCAAAAAGGGGTGTTAGGGATGCTGGGGAATATACCAATCATTATCATGTTAAGTCTAATGATGTCCTTGGACTCTAAATGGGCATTCCCTATTGGCCATTATTTATTTCACTCGTTAAATATTGTACAGATGTTGTTTTCTATTTTTATGGTACGATGTGGTCTGTTTGGTTGGTATATAAACAGAGTATGTTTGAAATATAGCGATTCATATCTCAGAGGCTGTGACTTGCATTCTGGACTCAACTGGCTGGGCTAGACAGGGAAGCGGGACCAATCAGGGCACTAGGTCGTTCACTACGTGTTTTCTGTGTCACTGTAATCGATCGATAAAACACTGCGCATCTAACCTGCAGTCTACCCGTTACAACAGTTGAGTTAAGAGAACAGTATTGTTTTTTTATTTAGATCTTGGACCGATTGATGTTAGACCATCATTGAAAACCTAGAAGCACTGGCTGGATGCCTCATCCTATTGTGGGACTCCTCAGCAGTGCGCATACACGATCCTGGTTGCGGGATTCGAATCCAGGGCCTTTGGTCTCGCACGCGAACGCTTAAACTCTCGATCACTGAGCCGATTGGCATTCAATGGTGTCAATGTCTAACCTCAACCAATCCACAAAATTCTCGGAGTTTTAGTGAGAAACCGTGACCAGTGGGGCTGATCCATGTCGGGTAGAGACAGGTATCTACCTCTATACAATGGAAGATGGTCGCGCAATTTCATGGATTGATGACGTTAAACACCATATCTAAGATATGGTATCAATCCATGAAGTCAAGAATTGTGTTGGTTTATGCAGACTTTCTGGTTATTAACTTAGCAATCGTCATAAATTAATGCTTATGTAGTTATTTGACATGGACTGAAATCTATCGCATCAATGTAGTTATTGTATTTATTCAGCATGTTCCTTCTTAAACTTTAGATTTATTGGCATTTCATATTGCTCATTCGATTTTTCCGGAGCATCTATCAAGAACTTTCTACTATAGTTAATACTATTATTTCTACTAGGTTTCTCATGTTGTTAGATTTGTTTCTTTGATTCAACATAAAATATGACAGCTTGAATGAATACAATCTTTTACTAAGTTTTACATCGTCTATATTTGACTGATTTCTTTCCAACGTACCATTTTCGTACTGTACGTATGAATCTGAAACCATCTAGCTTAAATTGTAAATCGCTGTTGTTAAACAAGGACTTTAATGCAGGTATTGCGGGTAACAACTTCATTACGCAATTTCATTTATAATCGGTAAAACTGATTATTAAAACGTCCATGATTTTTTGTATTATAGTAAGCTGCAACTGATCAATGCGCGAAGGTAGACACATTCGGCTACACTGAATTTCGTATATGTAAAACTGATACCCTATGGTTTCCGTTGGACTCCACTTGTCAGTTGGTTTGTATTGTGAGTTAAGGAACACTTTTCCTAATTTATGTTTTACTTCTTGATCTTTGTGCAAATATTTGAGTCGAGTGTATCACCTGATAAAGTATGGCAACTTCTTAATTCTATTGATCTAGTGTTAAGTTCTACTAATTTATCTTTTACCAAGTATCTGATGCTGTTTTGGGGTCCCAATCTGAAACCTGCTTACTTACGAATTTGATTGTTGTAAAGAATATGTACGTTTCATTGTGATTATAATGACGTCAATGTATGTACCGGTTGTTTTCGATTCTCAACATTATCTCATGTAGTTTTGTATGAAAACGTTTGTTTTTCGTCAATTTGTTCCCATACAATTGGTTTTTCATTGAAGTATTTAATCAATTAGAAGTGAACAACATCGGGATAACAATTTAGTCTGTGAATTCCCCTGTTCGTTATTGAATTGGATTAAGTGTTCACATGTCATCTTGATTTCTTTGATGTGTGTGGAATATAATTACATATGAAACTGTTAATAAAAAAGATTGGTGAGACTAACTATAAGATTAACACTGATATAGAGCTAGTATGATAAATTAGTTTCTTTACTGAATATGTGTATCTGGCTTTGCAGATGTATGGGACTGTTATATCTATTGAAGAGGAAAAACATACACGTTTTACGTACCACATTTTCTTTTCAAAAAATTTTCAGAAAGGTGCTTTTTCAACTATTTTCCATTGTTTAAATATGGAATTTAGATTGATATCATAAGTGGATCAATGTTAGACCATCATTGAAAATCTTGAAGCACTAGACAACCGTTTTGTCCTAGTATGGGACTCCTCTATGGCAGTGCGCATCCACGATGCCTCACGTGAGACTTGAACTGAGGACCTTCTGTGACCCATGGAGTCCAACCATGTGTGTTGTGAGTCAGTTACTCACTGAAGACAATGTTGACGGTCACGCAGTATCGTAGATTGGTTGAAGTTAAACATTAACAGCTTTGAATGCCGGCTCAGTTGTCTACAGGTTAAGCGTTTGCACGCGAAACCAAAGGTTCTGGTTTCAAGCCTCGCGTGCGGGATCGTGAATGCACACTGCTGGAGAGTCCCATAATAGGACGAGACGGCCGTCCAGTATTTCCATGTTTTCAATGGTGGTCTAACACTGATCCATTCATGATGTCAATCTAAACCCAATAATCTCCACAACCCTATACTAATAAATATGAAATTGAAAAGTTATTATATTAATTGTCGAGTGGTTTAGTCAATTTTTGGTATTCTGACTTGTATCGGTGAATGTGGTTGTTTCTAGGACTACATGTACTAGATATCTACATTATTGATTTAAAATGTGATATGTATCAAACTAACATTCAAAATATTTAAAAAGAATTTGTATTTTCTTGTTGTTTATAGTTACGATTGAACCTATTCAATCTTGGTTGACATATTATGTTTTGAACTCTTGAATGGGATACTTTGATATTGCTTGTATTGTTAAGCTTAATTTATATTTCTGAATAGTGACTAACATTCAAGATGTACGTTTCATCCTATTTAACACTCATTAACTGAATGAACCTGAATCCCTGTGCATATATAGAAGATCATTGCTTAGTGTTGATTAGCAAGAGGATTTATCTACTATAAATAATGTGAGGAAGACCCACGAGTGAACTAGAGGTATCTCAGAAAGAGCGGGAGATATTCCATTCAATCATCTTTTGTAAGAATATTCCAGAATCTACGTGTAGCTTCCCTATTGAACAAATGCTATTTTTTTTATTTATTTAAACGCATAAACATTGGTACAATTAGGCACCAAATAGATATGCACCACATAAATCATTCGATTAGTGTGAGGGCTGCGATACTGCCCGGGTGCCGAAACCGAAACGGGTGGTTTTCTCAGGGGGCCACACCCGGATCTTTGACCTAAAGGTCTGATCGACAAGGCAGTAGAGCAACGTTAGTAGATGCAGTCCCATGGTAGTCGGTGACAAGCAATGGGTTCGTACGCTATTTGTTCCTTCAGGATACTGGAGCCCATGTACACCATTGGCTTGTGATAAGGGTTTTTCGACTCCTTTAGATGGACTCTCCATGTCCACCAACCCGGTTAGATCGCCGGACATGTGCTTTTCATCCTTTCAATTTCGTAAACAACAGTAATACCGCTTGAACGCAGTGAATAGAACCTCTCTGATAGTGACTGTATACGCCTGGTCATTTGAGAGCATTAGGAGAGGTAGAGTTAACTCTCTTCACTTTTTGAGGGAGAACTATAATGATGAATTCCTATAAATACCTGATAGTTTTCTACCATAATTGACACTTTTAAGAATAGCATTCCTTCTCACTTATCTTCTATCTTTTCATTTACAACTTGAAAGAGTTTAAACTTTCCAGTGCTCACATTGTACATAGTATATTAAGAATCTAATCTCTTTCGATATAACAAATAACGACATGTAAAATTGAATATATAACAACCCTTTATTATATTTAATGAAAGAAGCCAGTATTGATTTTATCGGCAAATATCCAAGCGTAATATATATACGTACAATTTATATAATCATCATTATGACAAAAGTTAATAGTTAGCCATTGATACAGAATCATTCTTAACCATAGTCTACTTTATCATAGATATCATATACAAGGATAGTGTATATACTCCATTCACTGACTTGATCCATACTAGACAGATTACTGAAGAGATGTGTATAGATACTCAATGATGTTTTGTTTTATTTTTTAAACTGTTGTTTCATGTATATATTTTGTATTATAATCTAAGTATAACCATGATCTTTGATCCATTTCAAGTGTATTATCACTTTGAAATAATGTTACATCAGATTTCCATGGAATAAAATTCCAATGTTCATTTTTCCATAATTTCATTATTGATGATTTATGATAGTTAGTTGTAATATGTTGAAAACTTTTACTTCTTATCAAAGAGGAATTAGCGTTCAATGGATTAGATCCAATGAAATGTCTTGATTGATTCATGAAAATAAAAGAATTTTGTAATTATTTATTGAATCAATATTGGTATAGTATGATAATACTGTTTGTTATATCCCTATGAGAATAATATAATGATAACTGTTGGGATCCATTTATAGATCAATACTATACATATATTTTTATGGTATAATTGTTAAGTAGATAAACTAGGCATATTCATATTCCTCTTATTACAAGCTTGGCGAGACTCTATGCACGACGTTTGAACGAATCTTAAGTAACCTTGAGAAATATTAGCCAATCAGCAAACAGTCAGTATAGAGTAAAAATATGTTATACAAAACCAAGGAAATAAAGTGGATACACTTCTTATACGTAATTCAAAAACTTGTCGGGGTTAGAAAGAGGTTCAGACGTTCTAAAATCGTAATGCATGCAATAGAGGAAATCATCCATACAACTACAGAATAGTCGGCCTCAGGAACCATGACAAGGTCGCAAAACTTTTCAGCTCCGACCACATAGCTTCAATATTGTTTATGTGAACTCCGGTTGTTGAGTGTACAAAATACTACTTGTGAATAACGACACGATGCACATAACCAAGCCTATGTAGGAGTCTGTACGCCCTCCAAACATCCGTATATATTGTAGTACCTGGCTTCAGTCAGTGTTACTGGTGCTTTTATTATCCAGTTCGCAGTAACTGTCGTAATTTGCCTTAGTTAGGAATTATATATGGGGTTTTCATCACGAGCTGACATCAACTATAATGCCAGAAATTTATTTAGCAAAGTGCATGAAAGGCTTTCGCGCTAAAATCCGAGATCTATTATCTTATACTTGATTGATTCGTCCACAAATTATAGTCTTCCCGTTTTATTTGTTATAGCCGCTCAATTATCACGTTTTGTACAAAATTCCCTGTGAACCGATCGTACGTTAGCATTAAGCGCTGAAGTTGGCGCCGTAACCCTGAAATCTCTAAAACGCTTCTGATTGACTCGTTCATAAATTGGAGTCTCGCCCTATCTCCTACATTCACAACTACTTTTGGTTAGATCTTGTGTATAAATGTTGTTTCCTATTTTATGGTACGATGTGGTCTGTTTGATTGGTATATAAATCCAGTATGCTTGAAATAAATGATTCATATTGCGGAGACTGAAATTGGTGTTCTGGACTAAATAGGCTGAGATAATCAGGAAGAAGGACCGATAAAGACTCTAGAGTGGTCGTATGGGTTTTATGCATCATTGGTCCGGCCGATAAATCACTGTTCTCTAATTGGCAATATCATTATGATACTTTTGATTGATAGCAATTATATGGATAGACAGATAGATAGATAGATTTAGATATGAGAAAGTCGACATGATGTGTATTTCAGAAATGTTTATAATAAAACGATATATGATCTATTTTCAGAAAGGACTAACAGTATCAATTTATAAGAACTTTTGGCGAGACTATAATTTATGGACAAACCAATCACGTATAAGATAACAGGTCTCGGGCTTGGTACAAAATTCACTCATCCATTTGAATAAATAGAGTTTTAGCATTATAGTTTATGAAAATTCATGATGAAAACACTAAATTTAATTCCTAACTCTAACCATCAATTGTAAATCGTAATTCTAATTACTCACACAAATTTATAACCCTCATTTAATCCTAGTTACTAGGTAGATACTCTCAAGGTCAGTCGAGCATCGCTAAAAGGTCGTCCATAAATTATAATCTCATCGAACTCTTGTCTAAAGTTGACCGAGTAGTTTCACAGTATGTGAGCGCTGAGTTGATGTGTGACATTGAAGAAGAAGAATGTATTTGTAGAAATCCAAGCGAATGAACTTGAAGTGAATTCAATGTTTCACACCATATCTCTCTTACACACTAATGTAAATACCTAATTTAAACATTGATAACGTTGATTGGATGACCTATTAAAGTATACAGTGAACCGGAGAACCATATATCTATTTATATTCGATAATTTTGGCCGTTTCGTCCAGTGCTTCCATGTTTTTCATAGTAGTCTAGCTTCAATTAACTCATGATCTCAACCACTGAAATGGCTATAATATCCACAAAAAGCCCCCCCTGATATTTAGTGAAAATTGAACAATAACTACTAAGCAAGTACTCTAGTCGTGACTTAATTCTAACATGACTGTTAACTAATTCTTCGTCATTCAAAAGTTGATCTCATAAAGTAGGACGAAACAACCGTCTAATGCTTCCAGGTTTCCCATGGTGGTCTAGCTTCGATTGACTCATGAATTCAACAATTAAATTGAGTATCACGTAAAGCAGATAATCCATTTTGATGGTTCTTTGAATCAGGGCTAATTAAGATGACTGAGATCTATATTGCTCACAAAAAAATCGTAACCTTCATTGGTAACATTCAGTTGTCTCAGAAATGCAATAAACAAGAAATGAACACAGTTAAACTAATGCAGGATGACCATCCATAAAGTATCATATAGTGAACTTGAATTGGATAGTCGGTATCAACTAAACAAAAAATTCCAGTAGTTCGGTTCGGAATTTATAGCAGCTACTCTGTTCTTTTTTGTCTTCATTTGTTTTTAAAAATCTAATACCGTATCACCAACAGAACTTCTAAACATGAATCGTTGAAAGTAACCACATGATCCGGCACGTTAATCTAATAGACGAAAGTGTATACTAACAGATGACTTAGTACTAACCAATCTCACGTTGTTTCTTTTTTATCACTGACAGAATTATATTGACTAATCGCTGTAAATACTTCAGTCCTATAAGGAGTCATTCCTATCCCCATTAAGCCGAAAAGCAAAGTATTAGGTTGTGAAACTAAGTAACAGCAAATATGAATCTCATGAAGGGAAACAATCTACTTAAAGTTATGGATATATTTCAATGTTGACGATTGGTAACGAACACGGAACGCTAACCGTTTGCCTAAAAATGCAGTGGTACTATCGAGGGTGGTGAAATTTAGCTCTACCTCTCCAAATGCTTTCATATGGCCACGTACATACAACCACTGACAGGGAAGTCCTACTCACTACCTTATCGCATCACGGGTGTTGTTTACGAAATTGAGAGGATGAAAAGTGAATTCCCGTTGCTTTAACCGCGTTGATGGATATGGAGGGTTGTTGGAAGCCCTTGATTCCAAATGAATGGTGCACATGGGCTCCAGAATCCTGGGGGAACAGATGGCGTATGTACCAATCGTTTTTTACAGGCTACCATAGGACTGCATATCTTAACATTGTTCCATGTTTTGTGGATTACATCTTTAGGTCGAAGGCTTCGGGAATGGCCCTCTAAGAAAACCGTCTGCTTCGGTTTGGGCACTAGGGCAGTATCACAGCCAACACACAAATCAAGTGATTTGTATGGCGCATATGTATTCGATGCCCCTTTGTACCAATATTTATGTGTTCAGATAAATAAAGTGAATACCATCGAGTATCCGATCGGTTAACTCCAACCACTTAGAATCAATTTATTTGAAACTAACAAGTTCAACCTTGACATTGATACTTACAATTACGGTTATTATTTAATACCAGTGTGCATACTTTATATCATATTAGTAGACATTAATACCGATGACTCCAGTTTTCGCTATCTGATTGCTTCAACTATAAGTTCCTTTTCTTGTTGCATAATTTTCTGAGCCCAGTATGCAAATTTCGATTATAGCACTACTCAGTCGTCTACAGAAGTCATATTTATGATAGAAAATCGAAGATGAATTAACCGTATTTGAAAAATCTCTATGAGATAATGGTTTCCCACAAACTTTTATTGGTAATTATAGAGAAGCAAGAATGGAATATCCTACGATCAATAAAAAGCCATTCTAAACTAGCCTCCTTATGTCAAACAAATAAGGTGGATAAATTCCTACCTCAATTTTCTTCCAGTTATATTTGCCAGTTTACGTGTATGTGCTGAAGCTAATGTACACCATCAGTTTGGAATCAAGGGTTTCCAACAACCCCAATTGGATCCTCCATATCCACCAAGGCGGTTAAACTGACGGACATTCACTTTCCTTCCTCTCAATTTCGTAAACAACAGCCCCTCCATGAAAGGCAGTGAGTAGGACTTCCCAGTCAGTGGCTGTATATGTATGGCCATGTGAGAGCTTTAGGAGAGTTAGAGCTGACTCTCTCCACTCTCGGCTGTATCAGGGTATTTGGGGGTTTACCATACTGTTCCATTTTGAATGAATAAATTTACTAGTCAGAATAATGGTGGTATTTATTGTTAAATTAAATTCAAGCTAAATATGTCACGTTTTAATACAACATATGCGTTTCAATTATCTTAAATGATATACTTGGGTTGACCCGGCTAAGATAGTTAAATCATTTGACCATTTTTATTCTGACTAGTTTCCTAATGATTCATATAATTTAAATAAACCTTATATTGGTGTATTCAACTGTAACGTTATACAACTCAATTGACATTCCATAGGGAAGCAACGATTCCCACTAGATTACAGATAAACTACTATTGACAGATGCTAATTACCATAAATTATAGTTCCAGGACAACTGGACAATTATATCCGATCCTTAAAATCATCAATCTGAAAACAAATCAAAATAACTTAATGACTTTTTTTCATAGTTTGAACTTTGTAACACTCAGTTTGGGTTCTAATTACCGATTATTATGTGAATATACGACAAGACTATAATTTACGAACGAGCCAATCAGGTATAAGATAACAGGTCTCGGATTTTGGCGTAAAATTCACTCATCCGTTTGGTTAAATAGTGTATTGTCATTATAGCTGATGTTAGTCCGTGATGAAAAACCGAATCTAATTCCTAACCCTAACCATCAACTGTAAATCCTAGTTCTAATTCCTCACCCTCATTTGGTCCTAGGTACTAGGTGGATACTTTCAAGGTCAGTCTAGCGTCGCTAAAATGTCGTCCATAAATTATACTCCCATCACTGAAGTTTAAGTAACACTTTGAACATGATTTTCACTTTACCAGTTAATTAACTCAATTTTA